TAGCCAGGCTGGTCTCAAACTCCTGATCTCAGGTGATCCACTCACCTCAGCCTCCCAAAGTGCTGGGATTACAGGTATGAGCCACCGCACCCAGCCTATATGGCCGACTTTGGCTTGCCAGTGGCTGTGCTGAACCTTCTTTAGACAAGACAGCCTTAGATAAGCCAGCCTAGAATGCTTCCCCTTAACTTCTCTCAGATCTGCATTGTGACTTGACAACCGTCCTAGCCATACAAGGCTTCCTTCCTATTTTTCTCACATATGCATTTCCCCAATAAAAACTTGCACAGTTAATCTCATCATAGTGTCTGCTTCTCAGAGGAGCTGAATTTATATAGCTTAGATGGTTTATAGAGAACATTTATTAACTTATTTCTCCTTATCTCCCTGCCCTTATCCCCCACCTCCTCTTTTGTTGGCAAAGCAAATTTCAAAAAGGGGGAAACTACACGTGTGAACGCAATAATTTCCAGAACAAACCCAGAAATCAATTATTGACAGCTATGTAAAGTGTTGCAAACAGGGGCATATTTGACTGCTGTGGCTGAGTGGAGAACAAAAAGCATTATCACCAGAAACACAAGGCTCCATTCATTTCCTTGGAAATTCAGAATAGTTTAAAATATTGCTAAGGGACAAAGAGATTTACTCTGGTGCTAACTCATTGGTTTTTAGTGAAAAATACTTTTTAACAATTTTTTTTTCAGGATTTGATGTTGCTAATGTCAGTCCTTAATGCATGTCAATTATCTTATTATTCCTCTATGGGTTTCCTAGTGTTCTGCTATGGATTGTTGTTAGTCTGCCGTGAAATGCCTCTGTCCAGCCATCTCCTCTTTGTTCATGTAAACCCAGCATTCCAGTCTTTTTCCAACTTCAGAACAGTGGTGAACAGAATTAGCATTGTTGATAAGATATCACTTTGTGTATTGGTTTTTCTCTGTTAGTAGCTGAATGCTTTAACAAGTTTATCAGCCACACTCGCTTAACAAATATGTTAAAACCGGAACTGTGGTTTCAAAGACTCCAAAGTAAATAGTACAAATATTGCTGGGTTGAAAATTTCCTTCTTGCAATAAATCTGAGTTCAAAGAAGCTATAGAATTAAGCATTGTGCTTTTCATGTGAAATTCAATTCGACAAACATTTATTGTTTAAAAAAATTCTTTTAACTTCCCCTTCTTAATATAGTGGGTCCTGTAGAAGGAGCAAGTTTAGTGCCAAACACTGAACTATTTACAATTGAGGTTAGCAGAGGTTATCCACAGGGCTGAAGAGTTGGGAAAATTTCTCCTCCAGTTCTATGGTTTTCCTCCATGGTCTACTTTTTTTTTTTTTTTTTTTTACTAGTTCCAAATATCAAGTATAATAGAAAAACACTACACTCAGAGGTTTTGCCTTATCCTTCTTATTTATTTGGGGCCATATCAGTTCACATTTCCTAAGTCCTCATCAGTCAGCAACAATTGCCCAGGCTCCATAGTCTGTTGGATTGACCAAGTCTTACATTATAATGGAGGAAGCAAGAACTCTCTCACATGACTCAGAAATTCCTAGGAAAGTAGACAATACCTGAATGTATATGTGACTGCCATCGGTGTAGTCAGACACATCCATTGCTCAAAGACAAGTAGTTCTTTCTACATCTCTACTCAGATATCTACATTGGGGTTCCTAGGGGTTGCTTGGCTAGTTGGAGAAGGGCTGAAATTGTGTAGTGAAGAAATTCAGAGGAATTTTGAGCAGAGTTACTGTTAAGGAGGGGCAGGGAGCAGGGACATTTCACAGGGAACGTGATATGTAGGAGAAGGTATGGAGAAGTGACATCCTGGGTTAAGGTACTGACGTAAAATATAGCCCCAGAGTTCAGGGTTTCTTGAAGCCCATCCTTGGAGCTTCTAAGGATCTGTGAAGTCCAGGTTAAAAGCTGCTTTTATGATACCTGTCTCAACAGACAGAAGTTATTGTGGTATAGGCCAGGAAAGGCAGAAAGGGGAGCAGAAGGAAGGAGAAGTAGTTCTGTTCCTCAAACCACAGGGAATGCTGAAGGATGGATCTGGAAGCCCTGAGAAGTTCCAGAGTGGCTCAGATGACAGGAGGCCTTCTCAAGAAGACACAGGAAGGACTTTGGGCTATGAACCTAAAGAGGCCCCAAGTATCAGTGACCTGCCTTCTGAACACATCTCATCAACTCTCACACAGGACTGAAGATTTCCCTCTTAAAGGTTCACTGGGGACCAGGTGTGGTGGCTCATGCCTGTAAGCCCAGCACTTTGGGAGGCCAAGGTGGGTGGATCACTTGAGGTCAGGAGTTCAAGACCAGCCTGGCCAATATGGTGAAACCCTATCTCTACTAAAAATACAAAAATTAGCCAGGCATGGTAGCACATGCCTGTAATCCCAGCTACTTGGAAGGCGGAGGCAGGAGAATCACTTGAACCTGGGAGGCGGAGGTTGCAGTGAGCTGAGATTGTGCCATTGCACTCCAGTCTGGGCGACCGAGCAAAACTCCATCTC